TGCTGCTAAAAAACGAATCCATCCTGAGAGTTATTTATGGACTTGTCATGTTAAAATCTAGATAATGGAAAGGCAATTTGCTGAAAATTTCAGTCAAATTGACCCACTATGAACCGAGAATTAAGCGATTGAAATTTCAGCCTAGTCTCGATCATCATTACTAAGGTCTGTACGATAAAAAACATAGTCTCGATCATCCAGTGCATGATTAAATTAGGAATGGAAGTCGAGCAGCAAATGAGATCATAATCCAGTAAATATCGCAGTCTAGCAATGCCATCGAAAGTTGATTATGGTCTGGATAAGTTAATTAATGTCTAATTAATAAGTTAGATAACATTTCAAGCCTAAAGAAAGACATGCAATTGGCAGATTTAGCTCTTGCATAATGTATGTTTAATAATTTATACAACATTTGAGGTCGATTTAGCTCTTGAATAATGTATCTTTATCGAAAAGTCTAATAACTGCAAATTGATTTGATTCTAGCAGGATCGGATTAAGAGACAGGCGTAGCTATGTGAACCTTCCAATGAATGATAAATGGTATGAGATGTTCTATTAACAATAAGTATAAGCTGCCCCAACACTATTTAAAGTAAGCGACGCCAAGGTTTGACAGCTGGTGCTGCTTAGTTGGGGTTAATGTCCGTGCAATGACCGAAAATGGCCATCTACAAACACACTTACAACGGTTCGTGCCTAAATATTAAGGTCAACTACAGATTTCGGTCTAGGTCAAGGGTTAGGGTTACATCGCGTGATCTTTGGCCAAATTTGCAGATGGCTTTACTAGGTGCACAGTTGCAAAGCAACTAAATATATGCATCTTCAATTTTGGAGTTCTATTCTGTAAACATTTAAATCAAGTTACAAAGATTATTTTGAACACGTGACCTCGGGGTTTCGTCCATCTGATTGACTAAACACTGTTTCATTGTGGCATGGGGGTTGGGTGGCTGAATGTTTAGTGGTTAGCACGTGGTTTCGGTTCCCCGGTTGTACGTGACAAGGAGTAAGGTCGCCTGTCCAACCTCGTGGGTTTTCTCCGGGTTCCCCGGTTTTCTCCCACTACTTAAGACCCCTACGCGCAAGCGAATAATTAACATAAAATTGAGCCATATGTTGGTCCCGAAATGACCTAGTTTGTGTCGAGTGGACGTTATACCCCTCTCTCTCTCTCTCTCTCTCTCTCTCTCTTTCTCTCATTATGGGATTAAAGGTAACACAAAAATACGCACCTCTTCATAATGTTTTATAACAGGATCTGTAGTAAGATTAGTACAGCCAAATGCTGCTGTAAAATTATTCAATGTACAAGTTGTATCACTGGTATTAACTTGAATAGATTGACATCTGTCATCTAATAAACATTGGGTGGTACAATAAATTACACTCCCTCTAAATCTTTGTAAAATTGTAGATTCGGGAACAATTATATGCTCACAACCAGTTATTGTTTTCACTTTTCTAGTTCTAATATCCGAAGTGCTAGCACACACCCACAAAAATAACGTTATAAATAATTTTACCGTTACGTTAAAAAAAATTGACATCTTAAAGTTCACAAACCTGTATACTAACTCCTTGTATCATCTATATACAGTATTGTCGTGGTTAGAAATAGTTGAAGATCGTAATGTGTGTATCGATTAAACAAAGTAGTCTGATATATCTTCTACTGGTAGCCACAGGTGCTTGGAGACAGGCGTACGAGCCAGGGGAGCATGTGGGGGGGGGGGGGGGCTAACTGGCAAAATAAAGTGCTCGAAATCTAATAAAACAATAATTTTACTTCTTTTAATTGAATACCGCGAATTTGTACTGAATTGCCTAGGGAGTAAAACATTTTTTTTTCTGGAGCCACTCTACTTTGTGCAACATTTTTCAGGCATCGATTATTATTTGTGAATGAAGCAGCAACAGTCTGATTGGATGGTTGAAATTCGGGTCGGCATAAAGTGGGATTTCGGTTACAAAACCATTGGATAACTTCGGAGCTGCTTAACTCACGGGCTAGAATAGCAGAAAAACGTATTTGCGGCTGTTCAATTTTCAAACTTTCTCTGGGAGCATGGAACCCATGCTCCGCGATATTGATTGGACCACATTGAAGTTGTTGTATTCACGGGCTGGAATAGTCTGAAAATGTGTTTGTGGCAGTTAAATTTTCAAAATTTTCTCCCGACGGTTCCGCCTCCATGGACTGCAAACGATTGATTGGTTGATTGGAATTCGAATCAGCCATCTTAATTAGCATGCCTTGTCGAGACCTCAGTTCTGCATCACTGACAAAAAGGAACTACGCCGGAAAATCAGGATGAATTTTGTCGGTCAACACCAGGTTAGCGAACCCACGTCTTACTCACTGAGCAAGTTCAATAACAGACCTTGATATCTTAAGTGCTCCAGTTGATCACAAGGGGTATATCATAGCCTACATGAACACACAGTTCAGGTCGCTGGGGTTAAGTTATTCCTATTGCCGTTAGTCATTATTCCACGAATATAGTGGATTATAGTTAATGTGGTAAATCTCAATAATCACATCCTGCAGGCAAATTCTTATAGAAATTAATTCCTAAGCTTTCCATTGTTTTTTATAACATAAACAATTCCCATTTTCGTTTAAACAATATTTATTTCGAAGATATTGTACAATCAAAAGGTATTAAGAATATAATACAAAAACAGGCCAACGCAAATAATATTAATTTCTGTCCCTGAGGAGAGAGATTACTGTACTTGTTCTAAATATGGCACAAATAAATGAATAGATTTAATCCATATGATGGAAAAACGTTTTGTGAGTTTAATATTGTTTTGCACAGTTCTGTGCAAGTCTGATTTCTATTTTTTGGGGAGAGTTTCTTAAATACCTTAAATGACAAGAAGACAGTTTTTTTTTATTAAACAGGCATTATTCAAGAGCTAAATCTGCTTATTGCAGGTCTTGTTTTAGGTCTGAAATGTTATCTTAATTGTTAATTAGACATTAATTAACTTATCCAGACCATAATCAACGCTTGATGCCATCGTTAGCTTACGATATTTAGTGGATAATTGAGACTTTGTTTATCGTATCAAGGGTAGTAATGACGATCGGTGCTAGCTTAATTTTTTAAAACTCTTGTAACAATTTTGTTTTGCGACCATAGTACGTCATTGTCCAATTATTGGTTTCAAATTCATAGACAATAATATTTTTATCTTTACAAATGATTGATTCCATCTTCGTAACTAAAAATATAGAAAGTTATTTTGATACATTAACGGAACTATAGTTTAATAAACATCTTGGTCATTTACATTTTTGGGGGTTGGATGGCCGAATGGTTAGCACGTGCGCGCTGCACTGCATCATACGGTCTGTCATTGAGTCAACTGGCGGGTTTCGATTCCCCGGTTGTACGTGACAAGGAGTAGGGTCGCCTGTCCAACCTCGTGGGTTTTCTCCGGGTACTCCGTTTTCCTCCCACTGCTAAAGACCCCTACGCGCAAGCGAATTATTGAAATAAAATTGAACCATGTGTTAGTCCCGAAATGACCTACTTTGTGTCGAGTGGACGTCAAACCCCATTTCTCTCTCTCTCTCTCTCTCTCTCTCTCTCTCTCTCTCTCTCTCTCTCTCTCTCTCTCATTTACAATTTTCAAAGATGAATTATTATGTTTGAAATACACATGAGTGGAAAATTACTAATTAGCCCACGTCATTCGGTACCTATAAGAGAGAGCGGGGCTAGAATAATTCTAGACACAATGGTGAAGGGCTTAAAAAACTGATACAATTAGTCAAGGCAAGATAGCATGAGTGCAGGAAGTTGATGAAATAGAATGTCGACCACGGTTTATGGTCCGTCTACACCTATATTATCACCCCAAAAAAAAGTCCCATTCCAAAATCCCTGTCCAAATGGGTCAAATTGGCCAAAATCCAAAATCCCCACCGGTTTTGGCTAGTAAATTCCAATTTCCACCCAATTATCATAATGTGACCGAGTTTGGTATCAAAATATACGTTTTTGGGTTGACTGAATCCATTTCCATACACAATTTTGTGATCAGTAGGGGTTATTCAAGATGGCGAGGGAATTTTACATAAGGACCAAGTTTAGTGTCAAAATATACGTTTTCGAGATATAGCTGAATCTATATGCCCAGACAGCAGCACTGCGACCTACTCTAATGTCAAATTCAAACTGTCAAGGGATCATTTACGTGCACACCAATGTGAACACGGGACCTCGGTTTTCGTACCATCCAAACGACTAGACAGCTGTCCTGCATCATTGACAAGAGGGGACCACGCCGGAAAATCTGGATGAACTTCCTTGGCCGATACAGGGATCGAGTACCCGACCTCCAGGCTAGGGAACCAGCGTCCTACCCACTTAGCCACCAAAAGCTGGTCCAGAAATGATTTTGACACAGTAGCAGCAACTCGACAAGCAACCGAGGTATACTCTCTCTCTCTCTCTCTCTCTCTCTCTCAGATAAGAGAATTTACCCGTTGAAGGGGTATCTTTAATAATTTATGACGATAGTACGGACCACAATTTTTAGACTATATCTATTAAATTGCAAAAAAAAAAAATGAAAGGAAATGGGGTTTGACGTCTTACTGTTCTGCTCCAAACTGAGCTAATGAAGACGGGCATACACCATACAGTGTGCTATGAGGGAAATTTTGCCCGGACAGCGGTACTACGACCTACTCTTACATCGAATTCCAACTGTCAAGGTATATTTTACGTGCACGCCAATGTGTACACGGGACCTCGGTTTTTCGTCCCATCCGAACGACTAGACAGCTATCCTTGTCAGATCCACCGTCCTGCATCACTGACAAGGGAGAACCACGCCGGAAAATCTGGATGAATTTTCTCGGCCAATGCAGTGATCGAACACCCGACCTCCAGGCAAGCGTGCCAGCGTCTTACCCACTTATAGTCAAAGATTAAAGAGCTGTGTTGAAGTGACTGTTATATGGAAATGAAAATTCATAAGACAACTTTTCAAATAAGTTTTAGAAGCATTAAAACAAATCCATGATTTTGTCGTAATGTATATGCATGTGACATGTATATGCATGATAAAGGGAAATTGCCCCCCCCCCCCCTTCCATCCCACAACGATAATAAATAATCTCAAGAAGCAATTTCCATCCTTATTAAAACTAAAGAGCTGACGAAGAATTGTTGTTCTATCTTGAACAGATTTAATCCATTTTGTAGTTACGACTACCAGGAATATAAGCAGGATCGACCCCAACCTCTGATGGTTGGTCAAGGTTGAGTCTCTTCTAGACCATCGAAACAGTATGCAGGATTCATAGAAATAGTCGAATTTGTTAGTTATTCTAATATATTATATAATACCATAATGATACACGGATGCATTTCAGCTTTTGATTACTGACGGCGACGGAACAGATATTTGAAGTCATATATTCATAATAATCTGTTGAACTTCGGAGATGGGAATTGAACTAAACCAAAGAATGTTACTCCTAACGGTATAGTTAATCAAGTAGCAAATTGCCCGATATTACCATGAACCGTCATAGTACAGCATTTGAGATATCATGTAGGGTGCCACATCGCCAAGGTCATCTGTCCAGAAAATTTCATTGGGTACATTTAGCCTGTTGCCTGACAAGGGTTGGGTTAATGGACCGGTTGGGTTGCATCTTCCACAAGCATTGTACCAATATCCACCTCCGTGCTCTGCTGCACAGTTCCTGATTGCGTCATTGTCGTTATCTTGATCATAGGTACTGAAAGGTTGTCCTTTCATAGCCACGAGACTATCACCTAGAGTATCGCTTCCAGTATTCGAGATTGCACGATCATAGTTCATCACGTACTTGCTGCCCTCATTAGAAACGGTAAATTCTAAAACCTGACTCCGCAATCTAGTGGAATTTTTAAGTGAGATATATGTTATCAAGCGATGTTTATACCGACTAGTGAACAAGTGTAAGTTGTCTAGGCCGAGCCATAAGTAGGCTGGCGGACTTCCAAATCCGTTCTTGTACTCCGACCAAGATCTATTAAAGTTGAAGCCTGTCGTAAAGTGAGTGTTGACCGCTATCTGATTAGCCAAACAGTAAACTGTAATTGGTTCAGGAACTCCCTCGGGATGTAGTTGGTATACTCCTGTGATATAACCGTATGGTTTTCCTTCCTTGCAATCTGAAATCATACACAATTAAAGGTTGAACTCTTGGCTAAAAATGTACCGGTTTTGAATTCCGGTGTCGGTCGGGAACAACCTTCGGAATTTTACCTTTCATGTCGAGAGTCAGCTATTTTATGATGGTGCCAATGGGTCCGGCAGGTAAAACTTTCCCAATTTTTTCAGATAAGAAAAAAAGGCATTGCCGTGTACGTAATAAAAACATCCCTAGATGCATTGCGCACACGACCAAATTAAAACATCTGTTAGTTCGAATTGACCGTATTGTGTTATTGAACTCAATTCTCTCAGATTGGGAGGTTCGAGGTGTAACGCACGCGCGTTTGTATCATACGGACTGCCATTGAGGCGGTTGCCCGGGAGTCGATCTCAAGTTCGTAAGTTGGTTTCCTCCCAATCTAATGATTATAATAACAATATATGATATTCCCCAGTGATTGTTTTCAGTGCCCCTTCCCCACCACCACACCCGACGAAAACAAATGGTTTAACGCCCTACTGCTCCGACTGGGCTAATGAAGACGGGCATACGTCATACAGTGTGCTATGAGGGAAATTTTATGAGGGAAATTTTGCCCGGGCAGCGGCACTATAAGACCTACTCTTATATCGAATTCCAACTGCAAAGGGATCTTTAGCGTGCATGCCAATGTATACACGGGACCTCGTGTTTTCGTCCCATCCGAACGACTGTCCTTATCAGGCCCTGCACAACTGACAAGGGGGAACCACTTTGGAAAATCCCGATGAACTTTCTTGGCCAATGCAGGGATCGAACACGCGACCCCCAGGCTAGCGAGCCAGCGTCTTATCCACCTAACCTGCCGCAGCTCCTCCCGAACGAAAACAGCTATCCAATACAATATAGTAGAAAAGGTATGTCTCGAGGGGAATAGTGCACTGTTGATTACATTTCAACTACAATGTGATCATCCCAAGTGAGTCTAACAGTTAAATTTTTCATGTATTCTTTTTTGATTTGAATCAGCGGGTGGTTTTTTTCAAACACACTCGTGAGCGATCGGCATGTATTGTTAGTTTCTAATCGGCTGGTGGTTATCAACAGAAAAAAACCCAAACAAAACAAGTGAAATGAAATAAGTTATACGTTCTATTATTTTGCACTCAAACGGGCTAATGAAGTTGGGCATACGAGGGACCCGGGGAAAACCAACGAGGTTGGACAAGTGACTCTACTCCGTGTCACGTACAAGTGGGGGATCGAAACCGCACCACTTAACTCAAAGACATACCTTCTTATCCAACGCGCACGCGTTAACCTTTCGGCCACCCAACCCCCGTGTGGGCTTCGCCTGCTGAGCAAAATTTCCCTTTAAACATACGGCATGATGTGGTCCCCCTTCATTATCCTAGTCGGTGCAGAAAATTAGAACGTTAAATCCCATTCCATTTATATTTCTTGTCACGTGCACGCTGGATTATTACAGTAATAAGCGGACTAAGATGGCGGTAATATTGACCGAGATACTTACGTGTCATTAACCTCTCACATCGTGTTCCGATCCAACCATCAACACATTTACACCGACCACTTGCATTCAGATAACCACCATTCAAGCATGGCTGTAAAATAATTAGTAAATTGACTTTAAAAAGTACATTCCATTGTCTAAAATACATTTTAAACTTTTATCAAAATCTTAAAGGGCTTGTTATTCTAATGGTTTCTTTGTCTTGACAAATCTGTAGAGGATGGCTCTGAAATTGATATCCTAAAGTTAAAAACAGTTTTCAGGTGATACTCTCATAATCGCGTCTTAAATTTAGACACAGTTTTGAAGTTATACTCTCATAATCGCGTCTTAAATTTAGACACAGTTTTGAAGTTATACTCTGATAATGGGGTCTTAAATTTAGATACATTTTTGAAGTTATACTCTGATAATCGCATCTTAAATTTAGATACAGTTTTGAAGTTATACTCTGATAATGGCGTCTTTAAAGTTAGATACAGTTTAGAAGTTATACTCTGATAATGGGGCCTTAAAGTCAGATACAGTTTAGAAGTTATACTCTGATAATGGGGTCTTAAAGTTAGATACAGTTTAGAAGTTATACTCTGATAATGGGGTCTTAAAGACAGATACAGTTTAGAAGTTATACTCCGATAATGGCATCTTAAAGTTAGATACAGTTTTAAGTGATATCCTGAAACATCCTCGGTATCCCCAGTGGCATCGTTAGCGTAGTAAAACGGAACTATGCCACTCGAGATACCGAGGATGGCTCAGATATTGATATCTTAACGTAAAACTCTGATATTGATATTTTAAATTTAGTTACAATTTTCAAGCACTACGCTGAAAATTGCGTCTTAATGTTAGATACAGTTTTGAAGGTATGCTCTGAAATGGCGTTTTAAAGTTAAATACATTTTTCGTGTAACACTCTGATACTAATATTAGATACAGTTTCAGGTGAAAATCTAATACATCTTCGGTATCCCCAGTGCCATTGTTTCCGCCTGCTCTTCATCTATTTTGCACTGTCACTCAGGGGTTCTTTTACGTGCATCCCAACGTGTACACGTGGTCTCGGTTTTTCGACCAATCGGAAGGACTAGACGCTCATCCTTGTCTAATCTTGCCACGCTGGCGCTGGAAACTCCCCAGGGGGTCTTTCTCTGCCAACACCGGGATAGAACCCCGGACCTCCCGATTAGCGAGTCAGCACATTACGCACTGCTGTGATAAAAATTCAAATAAAATGAAATTAGGTTTAACGTCCTATGTAAAAATGAAATGAAATGAAATGGGGTTTAACGTCCTACTGTTCTGCTCCTAACCTGGGCTAATGAAGACGGGCATACGCCATACAGTGTGCTATGAGGGAAATTTTGCCCGGACAGCGGCACTACGGCCTACTCTTATATCGAATTCCAACTGCCAAGGGATCTTTTACGTGCACGCCAATGTGTACACGGGACCAACGTCCTATGTATCTGCACCGACAAGGCTGATGAAGACAGGTGCTGTGGTTGAAAGTTTGCCCGGGCAGCGGCACTATACGGCCTACTCTTATATAGAATTCCAATGGGTTTTTTTTACGGGCATGCCAATGTGTACACATGACTGACTAAACACTATACAGGTCACATTTCTATGGAATACAGTTACTGCTTATTACTGAGCGACGTTTCGACTAGGCTTCTCTAGTCATTATCAAGCTATGATAAAAATTGAAAATATGACAGGACAATATATACATGTACACAACAATACTTAGTTAATGCTGACAAACTAGCGACCTCCCTTAATTACGTGTACCTAAAGGTAATCTCATTTAATTAATAAGCAGTAATTGTATTCCATAGAATTGTGACCTGTGTATACTCCAGATCAATTACTAAATGACATTGAAACATTGACTAACACTGTGAGATAAAAGGTTACACAAACATACGCACCTCTTCATAATGTTTTATAACCGGATCTGTAGTAAGATTAGTACAGCCAAATGCTGCTGTAAAATTATTCAATGTACAGCTTTCATCACTGCTATTAACTTGAATAGATTGACATCTATTATCTAATAAACATTGGGTGGTACAATAAATTACACTCCCTCTAAATTTTTGTAAAACTGTAGATTCGGGAACAATTGTATGCTCACAACCAGTTATTGTTTTCACTTTTCTTGTCCTGATATCCGAAGAAGAAGAGCTAGCACACACCGTCAAAAATAGTGTTAGAAATAATTTGGCTGTTGCGTTTAAAACGTTTGACATCTTAAAGTTCAGGAACCTGCACACTAACTACTCGTGTCATTAATAACATGACGAATTTAATTACTGATGGATTCTGCATGGAATCAAGGAAGCGAACTTATCATTTTTGATGACATAAATATCGATCTGTTAGACAGCACAAAATCTAATTGGACGGATTCACTCACTTTTAAATCAAATCATTTCTTCTACAACTTCTACGTTAATTGATCATGATCATGTACCCCCCCCCCACCCCACACACACAAGCCATATTTTTTAAAACTATATTACTCGATATCAGACCAGTTTCTAACTTATTTTACATGGTCCAAAAAGAGGAGTAAAGATCCCTAAAACAAAAAAAAAGATATACATGTATATATATATATATATATACTATTCAAAAAAAGTAGGGGATATTTGATTTTTAAGTGTTATTAAAGTCACCTAATGAAACTGACGAAGAAACAAATGACAAAATGAAATGAAGTTCACATTCATCGATCTATTCCAAATGATCGTTAGACTAAGTAAGGCACAGACTGACCATTATAAGGGTAAAATGATACCCGGGGTCAAACAGCAAAGTTACCACAGCATCACAACCAAGTCAGTAACGGGTAAATCCTCCTCTGTTTGCCAAACAAGCATTGATCCGACGTGGCATACTCCTAATGAGACGTCTAAGGTCATTTTGGTCCAGATTGTCCCATTCCTGTTGCAACGCAGCAGCAAGTTCTTGGACATTGGCAGGACGTTGTTGACGTTGACGTAACCTCTGTCCAAGCATGTCCCAGGCATGCTCGATGGGGGAGAGGTCGGGACTCAGTGCTGGCCAAGGTAATGTGGTGATGTTCTGTT